CCCCCCCGACACCAGTGCAGGCCCCCTGGTGCCCCGCCAGCCCCTTCCTGAGCGTTGCCCACCCCATCTTCTCCCACAGCCCGGGGATTCGGTCACGCCACCCCCCAGCAGCAACCGATTTGTTCCCAGTTCCATCAACATCTTCCCACGGCCACTCTCCGCCGCTGCCTGACACGCACACCCGGCGGCCCGCACCCCAGCCTCGGCCCCGTCCTAGCGCAGCCCCGGACCAGAGCTCCCTGCTGCTCAGCGGGTTTCTCGGCCCACATTCTGTCAGGCGACATCGGGCGCATCTCTCCATGGCGCGGACCTAGCGCTTGGCTTGCAAAGGCGAGCCCTGACTGTCCGCCAAAACTTCCAGCTTGGGCAACTGGAAGGGACTGCATGTCCCAGCATGCAAAGCGATCCCCTTAACCTACAGGTCCCAGAGTGCAATGCGTTTCCTTGAGTCCAGCGGCTTTCAGGGACTGCATGTCCCAGCATGCAGTTCGGCTTACAGCCTTCCAACACGTCCGGGAGCCGTAGCCAAGGTGGAACTTGGTATGAGAGGCTTTGTAGTCGGCATCGGCCACGTTGCTTCCCGGGCGAGACTGGTGTTTGAAGATGATGTGTAAGCTGCTGAACGAATCAGCTTGCGGTGCTCGACAGAGAAAAAAAACTTCCGTGTCTTATTGACAGTGAAATTCTGTCTATAGGATAATAGTTATTCTAATATAACAATGTAATTAAACATATACTTGTAAATGTATTTTAATTCCCCTGGTATTAAACTAGTTTTAGTAAGATTCATGAGAATAACGTGCTCTACTAATATAAATTCGTATTACCATTTGTTTTACATCTATAATACTAACTGTTCAAATGTCATTTATGATTAATTCATCCTTTTACAATATATGCTTAACAGCATATTTTTGGATGCTTGAAACAAACAAAATAAAGAAAAACAATAGTAACGCTGTTAATTATTCTGGGACAAACTGCTTGACCCTTACACGGAATGGTATAGTTCCATTGTTTTCAATGGGATTGCTCTGCATGTATGTAACTCTACTCCATATGCAGTTCCACTGAAGTCAACGAGAAAACTGGAATAAAGTTTCATCCACATGCAAGCATTTGTAAGATTTGTACTCTAGAGTACAGTGAGTTGCAGCCTGTAGAAATACTGTACTTAGATGAACAGATTATTTTAGTTAAGTGGATTCAATGCCATTGAAGTTTATCTGTTTATGGCAGTGATGCCTTAAATGATTTTAAGTGCACAATGGTTACACAGGTGGATATGGAACCTAAAGAGACTTGGTGCCCAATATGGCAAAAGACTTAAAGTCCCATTTAAGTCTGTAGGATAATTCACACTAATGAAGTTAAATTTGTGCATAAATGTTTATGAATCTGGGACTTTGTCCAATTTTCAGTCCCTTTTCTCACCTTAAGTCCAAGTCCCAAAATAAAATTAACAAAATTATACAATGATTCCTTTATGCAAGCTTAACACTAGTTAGGCTTCATAAATAAATGAAATAACAACAATAAGAAAAGTGTCTTTCTATACTGACTGTTTGCACAGCCTGAACTGTTTTTTGTGTTGTGTACAGAATACATTATTAGTATATGACAAAAATAAATAATAATAAATAATAACCCTGATCCCACTGAAGTTAATATTAACACCCAGGGTCAGGATTTAGTCCCATAGAACATTTTTAGAGCTAAGGATAATCAGTCACACCAAGGAAATTAACTATTTACGTCAATAACAATAGAGATTACATTTTAAATTACATTTCTGGGCCTAAATATTGTGGGAATTGTGGAGTGTGCCTAACTCAGCATGATGAAGCTGTAGGCAAGTATCACTGATAGGTAGAGGGGCTTTGGTGATGTTTTAAGGGAAGTGTTTATTGCCTTTTTCCTCCAGATCTGTAGAAGTTTACTCTGTGTGAGATTTTTGAGCCCTTCGCTTTAAGCTCTCACATTCACAACCAACTCTTAAGTTCCCTTAATTTGGTCACCTGACTAGGCTACCTGTAGCCCAGGCACTTGAGTAGTCACCTCCCTACTCCTGAATTGTATCCAGGCACTGCGAGGACAGCTAAATGCCAGGGCTTTTTTACGTTGGTCCCTGCCCGGGTCCGATTTTTTAAGTACGGGACGCGCATGCGCATGCCCTCTCTTTTCCGGTCGGGATCATGGCGGGTGTAGAGTAAGTGCAGCAGCTTCACAGGGAAAATCCACTTCCATCCGTAGCGTGTCGGTCTCTACCCTCGAGCCGGCTCCTCGAACCCGACAGCCGGGGCGCTGCTCCCACGCTACCGCCCGTATTGATCCCCCTCCGTCCTTTCTCGGCGGCCCAGGCCTGCGTGCGGCCGGAGCGGCCTGGGTTTGGGGTGGCAGGGCGGTTGGGTCGCCTCGCCTGGTGCAGGGAGGACTTGCTAGAGTCTTCTGGATGAGCAGGGATGCGGCAGCCTGACTGCGTTGGGCCCTTGTGATTAAGGCGAAAGTGTCTCGGCTGCGGCTATTGATGGTGTCGCGGTTCAGGAACCATCATGATGTGATGGGACAGTAGCATGTACAGCCTCTCCGGGCTATATCCTATGGGCAGGATCTTCTGAAACTGTAGTCTGTCCTTTCCTTTATTGCCTCGTTAATGTGCTGTATGATGCTTTAGGGCTAGATGCTGCCTTTAGATGTATTGACCAAGTGGGATTGTGCCCATTTATTAAGGGTCACAATGTAGCTGTAAATGAACAAACTTCACAATTATTATTCTAACACTAAGTGATTTCCTAAGAGTCTTTGACACACTTCTATAAAGCTTAAATTTGAATTACAAACCTTAGTAATAATGAACTTGGGTTTCCTTCATAAGAAAATATAAGATTTAATTGATATTCAGGCTATATCCAGTGATCGTTACTGCCACTATTGCAACTATTTGTCAGTGGTTCTTGGGCTGGCCCTGGGCTGATTTGTATTCAGAGCTAGATGCAAGATCTTTTTTTGGTAAGAGTTTGCCTCAGTTTTAAGCCAGAATGATTTTAAAGTAGAATGAAGTGAGGAAATATTTTCAGATTCCCAAGTGGTGTCTGAAAGGGAGTGTGGTTGGTAGACTGTCAGTTTGCTTGGTGCTTTTACATATTCAGATAAGTGATTGCTTTATAAATGCCTAGAAGTAGCAATAAAGGGCAATTACCTTATGGTGCGATGTAGCTGTTCAGTCGCATACAGCAATACAGGTTTCCTTATCTGTAAATGAAAGATGCTGTAAGTAAGTGCATATTAAAATGTTACACAGGAGTTCAGTCCTGAGTAAGACCCTAAACCAGGCATGTCCAAAGTCCGGCCCGCGGGCCAATTGCGGCCCTTGTTCCGGTTTAATACGGCCCCCCAGGTAATTTGGCAATATCTATCTTTTATGGCCCCCAACGAATCCATATGTATTGAGATGAATACATTGTAAAATCTCAGTTAATATCAGTTGGTCTAAATCAGTTATAAATATATTTGGACACAACATGTATACTTGGTGTTATGTTCCTGTTCATATTTTTTGAACTTAAAAGTTGACAGACAACCTTTATTACCAATAATATGTAATGTACTTTACAATGTTCCTGACATATATTTCAGCTTCCTGGATTTTTTTTTTCATCTAGCCTTCAGATATGAAAGGCAGAGTAATTTAACACCTGTTTAGATTTGTCATCCATGTGACGAAATGACAAGTATGCCGTTTGCAATAAACTTTGTATAAAATAGTTAATTTGCATTTAATTTTAATGGTTCAAAGAATGTCAGGCAAAATGGTCGGCCCTCACGCATGTTTACTTCATCAAATCTGGCCCTCTTTGAAAAAAGTTTGGACACCCCTGCCCTAAACAATTGAAGATGCGGGGAGATGGCATGTAATTATAAACTGCATTTTAATTTCTGTGTGTGTTTGTGTGATTTATATATATCCAAGCTGCTTAATTCTTATTTAAGCTAAATTTGCAGATACATCTTTCATTACTTGTCATATGAAATCAATCTATAAATAAACCCTCAAGTCTTGTTGTTATTGTTTTTTTTAATTTAGAGGAAAGAAGGTGCCTTCTGTTCCAGAAAGCCTTTTAAAAAAGCGAAAGGCTTTTGCAGATATAAAGGCCAAGCGTCTGAAGAGGCTAGTGATTCAAAAGAAGGTAAATATTGTAATAAGCTTTTTAATTGTTTCACAATAAAGGCAATTCTAATACACTGTGGTGGAGATTAAGGATGTAAAGGACTAGTCCCCCAGCTGACCCCAGGCATCACTGCCTCTTTAAAACTGGTGGTGGCGGCAGTTTACATATTTTATTGACCACTTGCAATAATACAATTGAGTTGTTGTAGGCTAACATAATTATGAATGACCTGTTGATATACAACAGCTACATATGAATTTTTGAATGATATTTTACGCCTAATTTCAGCTTCGTAAAGCACAAAGAAAACTCATTTATGCAAGAGCTCAGGCCTATCACAAGGAGTACAGGCAAATGTACAGAAGTGAGATTCGTATGGCTGATCAGAATCAGAGGGTAAGTTAATTAATATTTTGGACTATGGTTACATTTTATTAAATATGTGGGGAAATTTTGCCTTCCAGCATTAAAGTTCACGTAACTTGTAATAAAAGCCATCCACTGGTAAATCACCCAAGCGATGTGGATTTATAGTACTAGCAGAAGTCTTGTTCACTCAGTCTAGTTCCTAATGCCACACCCACCCACCCGCGTGTTCGGAAGGAAGCCCATGTTTTGGCATTGTCAGTGAAGAGTTAAAGTAGCACTGTGCACGGAGTGAATTATCTTCATTTACATTTCATCTTGTAATGTAATGATAATAACATGTTTGTCTACCAATTTAAATTGTTCTCATGCTTGTTCTATTATATACCTGTAACATTGCAAAAATGAGTATTTGTTACTTTTATGACATAAACTGGATAATATGAATAACTCTGCAGACTAGGGATGTAAAAATCATTTTAAGATCTTAGCGGTTACACAATTACACACACTGCAGGCTCAGCTTCATACTGCGTAGCTTTCAGTGAAGTTTTCCCAGAAAGGGTGTCACAAGCCCCTGCTAGGGCAGGCAGGGAGCTCTTACAGCCCCTTCCAGTAAACATGAACTGGTAAGGATCACCTGTTAAGGATGAGGTTTACCAGTTACCCTTTTACATCCCTAGTGCAGGCCACTGTTAACGAGGCACCATAGAAATCTCTTTCCACATGTTTCAGAACAGCTTGTTTAAAGATGTACTATGAGAGGGAAACCAAGTGATCCAAAGAAAAAGGCTGTTTAAAGAAGGGCATATCTGGTTCTTATTGAAGTAGAACCATATCCCTGGATGTTTACTGATGGGAGCACTGAATTCTGAATTGACAGTATCACCTTCCTGCTTTGATGAAACAAAAGACAGGACTATGCAGCACTTTAAAGACTAACAAGATGGTTTATTAGGTGGTGAGCTTTGGGTCTGGCCCACGGAAGCTTATCACCTAATAAACCATCTTGTTAGTCTTTAAAGTGCTGCATAGTCCTGTCTTTTGTTTCAGCAAGACCAGACTAACACAGCTACATCTCTATTACTTCCTGCTTTGCTTTTTCTCAAGAGTAGGTCCAGCTGAGCCCTTGTTACCTTGTTGAAGAGAGACTCCACATTAAAAGTGGATCTGCTGTAGGGATGTGAAAGACTAGTCAACTATCCGATAAGGGGGAGGGGGAGGAAAGGGTACTTGAAAGTGGCAGCACCACTTGGTGCTTGGGGCCAGAGCCCGGGCTCCATGCTGCGCTGTCGTTTTGAAATGCTGCATGGAGCCTGGGGCCAACTGAGGTGCTCCCGGCTTTATGCAGCATTTCAAAGCAGCAGCGCCACATTGTAGCTGGGAGACCCCAGATGACCCTGGGCTTCATGCAGCACTTTCGCCTTTGAAGCCCTAGGGCTGTTGCTATGCTTCAAAGGCAGAGGCATTCTGTCAGCTAATTGAATAGTCGATGCAAAATAAATCGACTGTTTGATTTGTCAATTAGTCAATATATAATATTCGTAATCTGCTTCAAAAATAGAGATGGGAAAACATAATAAAATTCACTATAATTGTTTACTTTGACTCTCTCGTAAGTGCATAGCTGATTCCGGAATCAAAAACAAATAGCCATGTCTTTTTTTACACTTTACAGTATCAATGGAGTTAGCCCCAAGGTCCGTAAGGTATTGCAGCTTCTTCGCCTACGTCAGATTTTCAATGGCACATTTGTAAAACTCAACAAGGCTTCAATTAACATGCTGCGGATTGTTGAACCCTACATAGCATGGGGGTAAGTGAAGTCTTCAATTTAACGTTAATAATAGTTGAGTATCAAGTCAACTTGAAAAAGAAAATATAGCTTGTATTGCTCAACACTGAAATAAGTAGCAGAAAAAGTAAACACAGGACCTGGTCTGACTCAGTGTCATGAACTGTCATTGGTTCAACATAGTGTTTGCATCATGTTGCCACCTGACTGTTACCCTGGGTGTGCATGTTGTCATAATCCTAAGCATAAATTTTAATATAAAACTTCTTGTTTGGCATTATTGAATGAGAATCCCAATCACTTCTACCTCACTTTTGTATTTAAGTTACCCCAATCTGAAATCTGTGCATGAACTGATCTACAAGCGTGGTTACGGCAAGATCAACAAGCAGCGCGTTGCTCTGACTGACAATTCTCTGATTCAGCGGTGTCTTGGTAAATACAACTTAATTTTTTAGCAGTTACTTTGGTGTGAGAGTTTAAAATAGTTTAAAGTCTGAACATTACCTCTATCTCTAAAAATATATTTTTAACTATTATAATTTGAATAGGGTTTTTAAATTATACATGTCTCTGATTAGCATTGATTTCTAACATGAAAAACTGATAGGTCAAGCCAAGAGCCTTTTTAAGAATGAAAATATCAGTAAGAAAACATCGTGAAGAGTGGAAATACTGAAACAATGGCAGTTTTGACACTATTTTGAAATTTGCTAAATATACAGTAATCACGGTCTTCCATAGAAGAAACAATGGGCTTAAACTGCATCATTAGGGGTTGGACATTTCCTGACTCTAAGGGTGGTTAAGCACTGGAATAAATTGCCTAAGGAAGTTGAGGAATCTCCATCATTGGAGATGCTTAAGAGCAGATTAGATTAATATTTGTCAGGGGTGATCTAGATGGTGCTTAGTCCTGCTGTGAGTGCAGGGGATTGGACTAGATGACCTCTCAAGGTCCCTTACAGTTCTAGTTTTTATTATTCTAATCATATTCTAAGATTTGGGGATATTTAACATTTCCACCTTTCCCATTCATCTGGAATTAAAGACAAAATAGTTTGTTTATCCATAATTCAGATTGATTACATTTGCTTTTCCATTTACCTTGGTTACTTACCTTGGTTACTAAAAATAGTATACACTCTATTTTTATAATTTGCCATTGGTTTTAGGTAACATACTTCTAGAAATCATGCCAAATGAATGAGATCTGAAAGTCTATTCTTTACTGTTCTAAGAATTGAGTTTTCACAATCTGAAATAGGGATGTTAAATATCGATTAATTGAATAGGTGATCAACCTCATGAATTCTTATAAGTTACTCGACTATTCTATAGTCCCCAGGGGCAGGGCCAGCAGCCAGTGCACTCCGGCTCCACTTCTAAGGAGCCCCCTGCCACTCCATGCTATTGCCTCTGTATCAAAGTCAGCAGCATGGGGTGCCAGATGAGATTTGGTCCATGAGGGGAACCAGTTTAAAAAACAGCTCCACTCACAGAGAGACTGCCTGTCGCCCCATGCTGCTGCCTCTGATATAGCGCAGGGTGGCAGCAGCCCCCGTCCACCAGGTGGGACTGAGCTGGGCTGCCTGCCTGCCCGGCTCCTAATACACTTTAAATGCAGAACCGCAGAGGTGGTAGGTCCCTGATATGGTGCAAGCTGGGATTAAGCTGGGCTGCTGGCCAGCCTACTTAAAAATGTATTGGCACGCATAGGCAAGGGGGGACATGTGTAGTCTGTAGTATTAACCAATAAGTTTTTGCTTACTGGTTAATCATCTACACCAGTGTTTCCCAATTTTATTTGGCTACGGAACCCTTTTAAACTCAAAAGAATTTTGCAGAACCCCTAACAACACTTATATATAGAGCTGAAAAAGTAGACTACAAATAAGTAAGGAGGATAATAAACAAATGCTAAACAAAATCATGATCACAAATGAAAATTGTTTTCAATAAAATTCATAAATGCTTAAATATTAATTATTGTGTTTTTAAACAATAAAATGTTATTTTAATGGAATTTTATTGTGTTACCCTTATTTTTGGTGGAACACCATTTGGGAAACAATGATCTGCATTATTACATCCCTAATCTGATACACTCAATTGCTTCATTATATTAGCAGATGCTGCATTATATTACCAGATTCTCTTGGAAAATTTTACTCTTGATGTACTATTGAAATGCCATTAGTGCATTTTTCATTAACTGTTGCAAGGATTTAATATGTGATTTAATAAAAGATGAATTGTTAACTGGCATTGTATAATCAGTGTTGATTTAACTTCATCAATTTTTCTGAAAAGGCCACTGAAATATTTACTAAAATTCCATTAGGCTATCATGGTTTTCTCTATCATTGACGATTACTATTATATAAACAATTTTTGTCATATTTTGCTATAGTTTTTCCTTGTGTAAAGGAGAAGCAAACTTTTTCTAATTAGCAGTAGTAACATCCTTGAGGGTAAGTAGTACATAACTTGTTTTGAAACATTAAAGCAGAGCATTCCAATTTGTAGAGTTTGACTTGAACGCAAGTAAACAACTTGAGAGAGCTTTGGTTACTATCAAACATAACACATGAGACAAATTATTCATTGTGCATAGTATTTTTTAGGTTCATGCCATAGGTTGTGAGTTTTAGTCTGATTGTCCTATATAATTGTTTCCTGAATTATAGAGAAATATGGCATCATCTGCATGGAAGATGTGGTCCATGAGATCTACACTGTTGGAAAGAACTTCAAAGTGGTGAACAACTTTCTTTGGCCCTTCAAGTTATCGTCTCCTCGAGGTGGAATGAAAAAGAAAACTATCCACTTTGTGGAAGGTGGAGATGCTGGCAACAGGGAAGATCAGATTAACAGACTCATAAGGAGAATGAACTAATGGTAAGAAACTTAAAACTGTCACAGGGAAAAGGTACTTTAAAATTAGCACCTACTTAATGTAAAATTAAGGATGACTTAAGGATATGGTCCAGGGGACTGGAAAGCAAAGTTGCCTATTTTGTAGTTGATATGTAGTTGATATGTTTGGATCACACTTTTATAGCAAGAAGCCTTATTGAACTAGGTTGTCCAATAGATTAGTATATTTTTTAATATTTAAATTTTCTCAAAAGTTACCAAAACACAAGTATGCAGAAATTGTTTGAATCTTGATCATAGCTGCTATATATCTTCCCCAACAACTTACTGCTAATTACCAAAACAAATAATTTACATATTTAAAGACACTTGGATTTGTAATGGAAACCTTGATTGCCCTAACCTTACTGGCATTAAAAGATCAAAATTTGTAGTCATTCTCAGAAAGCTCCTTGCTTTTACTGTTAACCAGAGTCAGATGTTCTCCTAGCTGTTGGCTCCAACAGAGCCATATACCCCTTGCGCGCCTGTCTGTCAGGCAGCAGCGCAGGCCCAGGGGTGGGGGGAAGGAGGAGGAGGTAGAAGCCGGTATGTGTAGGGGAGCCGGCTCTCCTGAGCACTGGCTTTGTGTGTGGAATCTCCTCCCGTTCCCCCGCGTTGCTGCCTCTGTCTGTAGGGAGCTCGGGTCCCCCATGAACTGAGGTTGCTTCCTCCCCGCACTGCTGTCTCTGATAGTCAGCAGCTTGGGGTGGCAGGGAGCTCCCTAAGTATGGGGCCTGGAGCGTGCTGGCTGCCACTTCTGCCCTGGGGACCATCGAATAATTCTGTAACTGATAAGATTTTGTGCTGTTATATAATTATTAAAAGCTTTCTGACATCTCTAATTATGAATTACTAGGCATATTTTTTATCAAATATTTCCTGAATCTTTGTCTGTATTGTTAGAAATATTTGCTGACAAGTATCTTGAAATAAATTACTAAAATTAAAACGGGCATCTAAAATATGCAGAAAAGATATCTCCACAGGGAGGGCAGAGAATTCTGGATGGATGTAAAGAATTCTGTTACTTCACCCCCTCTTCACACATACATCTTCCTTTCATTTTCAGAGTTCTCTGTTGTCTGACATATTCTTCAGTTCCTTGTGTTGCTGTATGTAGCTTTCAAAAGCAATAGCAGACAAACTGATGTGGTTCTCATCAACTTATATGTTGCCTTCAGGCTTCTGAATAGCAGCTGGTCTTACCAGTTTTCTTCTGTTGCATGTCTAAAGTTGAGATGGTAGCTGCAAAGATCCATTGGCTCATGGATAGGTCATGGGCAATAAACAAAAATTCAGAACCTTTGACCTGTCCATGGCTTATTCTGTAAATATCCCTCACTACATTTGGGGGACTGGGACCAGCAGAACCTGCTGCCGAGGGAATTAGTGGCGGTTGCCTTTTTTAAAAACAAGCACCTAAATATTAAACCAGTGTTCAACATCATTAGTTTTCTATATTATGCTATTCTCCTGGGGAAGCAGTTTTACTGTTGCTGCAAAACCTCTCCCGGGAAGCAAGGCTGGCAAGAGGTTTAATTTAGGTGCCTTGCCGGCCCCACTCCTGGAAAAATGGCTTCACTGCAGGCTCTGCAATATCCTGTAAAGCCCGCAACATGTAACAGTGTAGGATTTTTAGCAGTAATTCAGTTACCTTTTTAAACAAATCCCTAATTGCTATCATGCTAGTTTAGTGATTACACTAAGTTGAACAGAAGTTTATTTGATTCTGATGGGGCGATTTTTCTAGGTGGTATAGTACTTTTAGCTGTCTTCCTAGAAGTTTAACAAATGTGATAAACACACTTCTGAAATTATAGTAAATAGATGCTTAGTCATTCAGAATTGTGCAAAACTACTTTTGTTAAATGTCAGCAAATTAGCTGGCAGTTCCCTCTAAACAAAGTGCTGTTTTTATCAATTGTATCCTAACAGTTTTCTTAAGATCACACATTGTTCCATAGCCTGTATCAATGGGCAGTCTGCACGCCTTCCATCAATGATTATTTGCTTTTTAAATTTACTCAGCATGATGGAACATCATAGAACACTAGAACAGGAAGGGACATTGAGAGTTATTGAGTCCCCTACCCTCATGGCAGGACCAAGCACTGTTTAGATCATCCCTCATAGATGTCTATCTAACCTGCTCTTAAATGAATCCAGAGATGGAGATTCCACAACTTCCCTAGGCAACTTATTCCAGTGTTTAACCACCCTGACAGTTGTTTTCCTAATGTCCAACCTCAATCTCCCTTGCTACAGTTTAAGCCCTTTGCTTCATGTCCGATCATCAGAGGCCAAGGAGAACAATTATTCTCCCTCCTCCTTGTGACAACCTTATATACCTGAAAACCGCTATCATGTCCCCTCTCAGTCTTCTCCTTTCCAAACTAAACAAGCCCAATTCTTTCAGTCTTCCTTTATGTTCTCTGGACCTTTAATCATCTAGACCTCTTGTTGGACCTTTTCCAGTTTCTCCACATCTTTCTTGAAATGTGGTGCCCAGAACTGGACACAATACTCCAATTGAGGCCTAATCAGTGCAGAGTAGAGTGGAAGAATTACTTCATGTGTCTTGCTCACAACACTCCTGTTAATGCATCCCAGAAACTTGTTGGCTGCTTTTTTTTTTTTTTTTGGCAACAGCATTACGCTGTTGACTCATATTTAGCTTGTGTTCCACTATGACCCCTAGATCCCTTTCTGCAGTACTCCTTCCTAGACGGTCTCTTCCCATTCTGTATGTGTGAGACTGTTCCTTCCTCAGTGGAGCACTTTGCATTTGCCCTTATTAAACTTCATCCTGTTTACCTCAGACCATTTCTCCACTTTGTCCAGATCATTTTGAATTATGACCTTGTCCTCCAACGCACTTGCAACCCCTCCCAGTTTCCTATCATCTGGAGACTTAATACTTTCTTTGCCAATTTCTAAATCGTTGATGAAGATATTGAACAGAACCGGTCCCAGAACTGGTTAATGAAGATATTGAACAGAACAGACCCCTGCAGAACTCCATTTGTTATGCCCTTCCAGGAGGATTGTGAACTGTTCCTAACTACTCTCTGAGAACAGTTAACCAGCCAGTTACGCACCCACCTTATAGTAGTCCCATCTAAGTAGTATTTTCCTAGTTTATTGATAAGAAGATCATGCAAGACCATATCAAATGCCTTACTAAAGTCTAGGTATACCATGGCCACCGCTTCTTCCATATCCACAAGACTCGTTATTCTATCAAAGAACGCTATCACATTGGTCTGACATGTTTTGTTCTTTACCTATCACCTTATCTTCCAGGTGTTTGCAGATGAATTTTTTATTACTTGCTCCATAATCTTTCCTGGCACAGAAGTTAAATTTGCTGTTCTGTAGTTTCCTGGGTTGTTTTTATTACCCTTTTTACAGATGGACACTATCTTTGCCCTTTTCCAGTTTTCTGGAATCTCTCCTGTTTTCCATGATTTTTCAAAGATGATAGCTAAAGGCTCAGATACCTCCTCTATCAGCTCCTTGAATATTCTAGGATGCATTTAATCAGGCTCTGGTGACTTGCAGACATCTAACTTTTCTAAGTGATTTTTAACTTATTTTTTTAACTTTATCTTCTAAACATACCCCCTTCTCACTAGCATTCACTGTTAGGAATTCCTTCGTCAGACTTCTTGGTGAAGCCCGAAACAAAGAAGTTATTAAGCACCTCTGCCATTTCCAAGTTTCCTGTTACTGTTTCTCTCTTCACACTGAGCCTACCCTGTCCTTGGTATTCCTCTTGCTTCTAATATATTTGTGGAATGTCTTCTTGTTTCCCTTTGTCTGTAGCTAGTTTTAGTTTTGTGCCTTTGCCTTTCTAATCTTGCCTCTGCATGCCTGTATTGTTTGCTTATATTCATGCTTCGTAATTTGCTAGTTTCCACTTTTTATATGACTTCTTTTTTATTTTTAGATCATGCAAGCTCTGCTGGGTAAGCCAAGATGGTCTTTTGCCATACTTTCTATCTTTCCTATGCAATGGAGTAGCTTGTTTTTTGACCCTTAATAATGTTTCTTTGAAAAACTGCCAACTCTCTTCACTTGTTTTTCCTCTTAGTCTTGCTTCCCTATCACCGTGGCCTAAGCTTCCAGGAGCTTGGTGTGGGAAGAATGTTTAAGTCATACTTTTTCCTTTCTTCCCCGGGATATGTTTAAGCTGCATCTGCTCACATATACAGATGGCTCAAGCCCAGTGAAATGGTGCATGTCATGATGTTGATGGGTGTTCCACATAGTATTCCTTGTCACTAGTTGGGCTCAGTTTCAGTTCATTCTGTATTAGTTCTGCAGGTCAGTACAAACTGCAGTGTCACTTTAATTTCCTTTTAACCACACTTCCTTGTTTTTAAGCCCATGCCATGTTATATTTGAGCTGCTGGTAAAGTCATATAGACCACTTATGTTGGTCTACAGCTCTTGTAAACACTTTATCCAGTTGCTTCCTTTCTCCTGCATTTTCTTTCCTGCAGAAAATCCTGCAGAAAATCCTAGTTAGTTTACTGTTACCTCCGTCTAAGTGAACAATGAATAACTTGTTTAGAAAGACTGTTTTGTTTTCTCATTCATTAAATTTGAAGGGGCAGATAATTATCTGCTAGTAATGTAATCAAAACGAGCTCTCTAGCTTAAATAAGGATTAGTGTTCATCTGAGCTAATGGCCATGTAAGCAAATGTCTTCTAAAGAGCTGTATGCTTTAAGATGAAAATTCATTGCAATTTTACGTTTCTTTGAGGGTATGATTCTTCTATAGCCCTTGTCTATGTTAGGGAAATTTTCTAATTATTTCCCGCTGTTGCCAGCATTGACGTTGACCAGTGTTCATGTTGGGAGTCCCAATGCAGCTAAGTGCTTACCGCATCAGTGAGCACCTGAGTAATGTGGTGCTTAGGTTTTAGCAAAACATTGTGCCATTCATGCAGTTGAAACGAGGGATGTAACCAGTAACTGGCAGCCCGCCTGTGGGGAGTGAGAGGGGGCTGCTCCAGCCCAACTGGGCCAAGGGCACTATGGGATGGGGTGTCACTCCAGTCCACGGCATCTTGGGTAAGCAATTAACCAGCTAAACAAAACATTTAACCAGTTAATTGATTAAATGGGTTTTTACATCCTGGGCTGAAACCTTTAAGCCTTTTTGCTTAAAAGGCTCATAATAACAAAGCTGGAACTGAATTGATGTTGGTGGTGAGAAGCCTTTTTTAATCTATGGTTGTGCATTTTTACATAAATTTAATATCAACATTAACAGTGAGGATTATGATTTTATTGTGTTCCTTGATTTCTGCCTTAAATACTAGCTTTCCTTTTAAGTCAAGATAAAATTGCTTATTCCTTTGTCATATTTTATTAGGAGACATAGCATGTTCTAAACCTACAGTTGGAAAACATTCTGAGGGATAGCCAGGTTAATCTGTAATAGGAAAAAGTTAAACAACAAATAGTCTAGTAGCACCTTAAAAACTAACAAAACATGTAGAGGGTATCATGAGCTTTCGTGGGCGTAACCCACTTCTTCAGATGACTGGAGTATTAGAAAACAGTGTTTTATTGTCAATGAAAAGACTTGGCTGTTGAAATTGGAGGTATTTAACTTGCATGGAATTCTAATAAAAAGCAAATTAAATAGCACCTAAAGGGTCTCTTCCCTCTGATTGAAAGTATAATAGTCACATCAGCTGTGATAAATTGATAATGTCTATATTACTATCATGTAGAACAAAGAATATCAAATTATATTAATGTTAATTTGTCTTTTTTCTTTCTTTTTTTTTTTCAGGTGCCCAGCAAGTGGACTTCCCTACTCTTGTCTGTTAATAAAAAAAAAATGTGCACAACAGTCTCAAGTCATTTTGCCTGGGAATTTTTCTGTAATATTGCCTAGACTCCTTGTCTAGAGTGTGCTTTAATAAGATACTCCTCTAAAATTTCATAATTAAGATTCAGTAGAAGAGAAGTATAAAATACTTATTCCTTTTTTTTTACTTAACACTCATTTTTCCTCTCCTTAAATATGAAGTACCTCCTATGTAAGCCAGTTCCACCCTCTAGAATTGAAATTAATAAGCAGAGAAGAGGTGCAGAGTGGCTTTTTTTTTTCTTTTAAAGTTGATGTGTAAGTCTTTTGTTTTTATTTGCTGATTAAAGGCCCTAGGAGGGCCCCAGCATACATCTGACAAACCAGTAATTTTCCACCACAGTTTTCCCAAATGCCTTTCTGTACTCCCCCTAACCAGGCAGGACTCTGCAAAGCTGCAGACTTGCTATGGGGCACAGAAGAATCCTGGCTCCATGAGTCTGCAAAAAAGGAAAAAAATCAAGTTCTCAGCACTCTGTCACCCTTACACAAGTTTATATTAAACACATTAAAATTTTCAGAGAGTTGAGAGACTAAGGTCAAGTCTACACTGGCACTTTCCAGCGCTGTAACTTTTTGGCTCCAGGGTGTGAAAAAACATCCTCCCCTCTGAGTGCAGCAAGTTACAGTGTTGAAAAGTGCCAGGGTGAACCAGGCTATAGTGCTGGGAGCACAGGTTGCTTATATAGTACTGGAAGAGCTCTTTCTGGGATCATCTACGCAGCTGGGCTAAAGCTAAAATAAGCTACACAACCTCAGCTACATCAATTGCATAGCTTAAGTTGAAATAGCTTATTTTGGCTTTTGGCACTGTCTGTACAGAGCAGGATGTCCGAAAAAGAACATTCTCTTTCAACTTCCCTTACTCCTTGTAAAATGGGGGTTGCAGGAGTTGGAAGAAGAAGTCCCCCAACTCAACATTATTTTGACATTGTTGAAGTAACTGCTTGTAGTGTAAACGTGGACTATGTTATTTCGGAATAATTTTAGGTATTCCAAAATAACACTGCTGTTTAGATGTACCCTCGCAGTGATAATGCCATGGTTTCATTTTAAAATACTGGTGCAGCTATGCTTTAAGTGTAGATAAAGCCTACTTTTCTATTAAACCATGTTTTCCCAACTAGCTCTGCTACTGGCAGTATTGGTAACACATGAGTGCTGAAACAAAGGGTCATAAATGGGTCAGTTGTCACTATACCTCTCAAAATTGCTGTGGCCTAAAGTTGGGGTGCAGTGTGACCAGCATCCAAAACAAAAGACAGATTATTTATCCAGGAAATTCCGTTTGTGTAAATGCCTCTTTATATAGAACCTGCTTTCAAGATTCTTCTAATGTAATTTTCAACAATGGAAGACCACATTTGTATTCCT